CTGATCAAGGAATGCACATTACGAATCATCTGTTGTTTGTGGATGATCACAAGATCTTTGCGACCGATGAGATCTATGGGAGAAGGAGTTGAAAGGTTTCTTGATGTTAGGACTAGAAGTAAATTCAGCAAAGCCAGCCCACTATTACTTACCGAGGTATCTGCTGATAAAGCGGCACTTTTGGAAGGAAATCTAGGATATAAATACCATGGATTAGTGGAAGACAAGACTAGTGCACCTACCCGTGAAAGCTACGATAAAGTCCGAGCATAGATTTTAGTGATAATTGAGCGATTAGCTAAAACTGCACTAAATGGCAAGAACTTTACCAAGGCAGTGAATGAGCACGTCATAGGTTTGACAAATTATTACATCAAGGTGCTTAAGCTGAAGCTAGAATACTTCAAGGCTATAGATCACGATATCAGACAGTTACTAATCAAATACGGAGTTCACAAGCAACCTGCATGCTTGGAAAGACTGCACCTGCCAAGGGACGAACTAGGACGTGCACTTCATAGTGTTGAGCAGAAGAGTGAGCTTATGCTTCTCCAACTACATAATTTTCTTGTAGAAAGTGGGCCCTATATACCAGGAGGACGGCAATTTTGAAGCAGGAAAAGACTCAAAACACGTACTTAGCAGATGTTGTGCTCTATATTCAGACTAAGTGCAACCTCGTAAAAAATCCAGCCGTCGAAAGCGTATTTCCTGTATAGGGAAATGGAAAAGAAAGTTCGTCATGCAAAGCTGTATAAGATCCACAGTAATGAGCTAGCCTCAATGTCAGATTCATCAATATAGAGACGATTTGAAAGATTATCCTGGAAGATGAAGCAAAGTACTATCACGTCCAAGATAGAAATATGTTTTGAGCTGAGAAAAGCATGTGCCCACATTTTGGAGATTAGAATGATGGGGAATGGACCGGATATCATGATTCACGATAAGAAGCAATGTGAACTGAATCCTGATTGAGGCTGACATCACTAGCTAGGACAGAGGAGAGCAATAAAAGGCGAATGTATGACATACTGGCTAATAAATTTGGGACAGAGATGAAATGCAGAACGAAAATAATTCAGTACGTGATAACTTGGGATGGGATAGTAACGAACTTCCACAAACACTATGCGAAGAAGATCAATATGTCTGATCACGTCGAAGCATACATTCTCAAAAAGACGCTCGACAGCATCTCACTCGGTTGATTACCGCATGAATTCCACGAGTATGAAGAAACAAATATCAACACAGCAAATCTAAACGCGTAAAAAGTATACAGGAGTACGATCCAGCACCAGAATCAGTAAAGCAGAAAAGAAGAACAACCTCTATGTAATATCAATTATTTGAAACTGAAGTTTCAATCAATAAAAATTTCTAAAATCCTACAAAAATAATTTCATGGTCACAGATTTATTGAAAACAATCTTTTTAAAGTTGAACAGAAACTCCATAATTCCGATTTTATTTTACTAATAATATTTCCGAAATCACAGACTTTCAGTGGTTTCGCTTCGTTGACTAAACCCAAGATATCAATGGGATCGTTCGTATCTGCCATACTCTCCATGCTGTGCAATAATTTGAACCAGTACTTGGCTTTCACCTGCATTCAATTTCCTTTTACAAAATACCATCTGTTTCATTTAGAATATGAGAAAAAAGTTGATTATTTTAGTTTTCAATCAGTTTTTCTGGCAATTAATTTGAAAACAAAGGCATTTTTAAAGCATAAAGAGAAAAGACGTAAATTCCATGAAACTGAAAAAATTAGAACAGATATCGTAAGTAAAATTAGGCTGCATACCTTCATGGGATTAACTTCAAATCCGTTATCATTCGTATCTAAAATATTTGCCACTGCTCCAGCCATTTGCAACAAAAATGGTTTTCGATGCAAGATGTAAAACTGTTTGCAAACATATTCAATTGTACGGCACAGTAATGGGTTTGTTTGTCTTTGACTGTAACAGCGTAAGATCGTTGGCATGATCAGAAAAAAACCCTGAAAGAATCATGTGGCATTTATATGAGATTAACTAGAGTATAAAACTAACGCAACTCCAAATTGAAAACTATACCTACCACTTGCCTATTTATTATTCGCAATCCATATTTACAGGCAATTTACTCGTTTGATATTTTTAGTTTTTATCAAAATTTGTTACTGAAAAATTCCACATTTCTAAAATCTATCTCCAAATCGCTCAGTATTTTTCATTTCCAAAATTTCATAAAAACGAAAATTCTACATACAGATTACCTCACTGGCGAAAAGAGTACTGAAATGTATGGCCATAGAAATGTATGTGGCCATGCATCGCCGTAAAATTGTAAAATTTTCACAGTGTAGTAAAGTAATTCCATTAATAACATTGATAAACAAATGCAAATCACCAAACATAAATGCATTTTCCATTTTTTCAATCATATCCGACATCAACTGAAATAATAATCATTTGAACTCGCAAAAGTACCAATTAAGGAATCTTAAGCAATCAACCATCTCATGACCACTACTTTCATACAGTAATTATATCATCTTTGAAATAACACAAACAACTTTTAAAAATCTTATGATGATTCATGAAACTAAATAAACGTAATGTTCTACGTGTAAATCATTACTTCATTTATAAATTCAAACAATTTTAACTGGATCCGAAAGTTGGCATTTATTTCCTCCAAATAATGAAGTATTATAAATCAAGAAGTAGGTCTTTCGAGAAACTTAATGTTATGGACTAAAAATAAATGGAAAGTCATACTAGGGCCCAAACAAATTTATGCATATTATCCATTGAATACAATTCACGACCGAACGGACCTCCGTACATCCCGAAACATGTTTCTAAACTTTTACGTGGAAACGATGGCAAGTGCGTGAATTCGTCATGCAAGAAAAATATTCGTTGTGGAATCTGAAATGCAACTTGAGAAACACCTTAAATGAAACTTCGATCGCATTCTCAACACTATGCAAGCCATTATAAAAATAATTTGCATTTGGTTCTACTTAGTTGAGAAGCAAACGTAATAAGCATTTCAGCAATGTGATTGACAGGTAAAAACATGCTTCTTTGCGCAGAATCTATGCTCGAATTAATCTCATACAAATTATTTGTAAAAAAGTGATTATCAGAGATCATGAAAATTCAAATTGGAAAAGCTATGACTGACCACATTTTCTGAACTGTGAACGAGAGCACTGTGTGTTAACAATACTTTGCCCACTTCAATGAACTTTTGAATAAACGCCATTTGACGCATTCGGAAATGAGCTTCATCTGGATTCATTTTAATTAACGTTAGCTGTGGATAGAAAGAGCGGTGGAAAAAGTAAAAATCCCTGTAAAAACAAGAATCAGCAGTATCTATTTTTGGAATGCACTGAAATTTGAAACAGTTTAATATTTACATGGTTTGATTTAAATTCACAGTACAAAAGAAAACACAATCATAAAACCACTTTTGAAGCGACAAATTGCGTTGAATTTAATTTACTTAATAATGATAAAAATGAAAAAAAATTGGCATACCTAACATAGGAAGAGGGATTGTGAACTGAATTAGTTTTTGTATCAATTAAAAAGTAGTATTCCACATCTTTTTCATGTATATTAAAGAATTCCAAGCTGTCAGTGAGCAACTGTTGAAACTGTGTATCTTCATGAATCGGAAACTGAGATGGAATGCCACCTGATCCACTTTCTGGCCCATGAACGATGATTTTTTTTGCTGACGGAACATTTGCTGTGATCATTAATGCTTGCTGAAATGAATCAGTTTTTTATTTTATAAGTATGATTCATATTTAATCCATTAATTAACTTTATATTATATACTATTAACTTTTTTTTTCAAACTTTTACCTATTTTCAGTTGCGAATATAAGACTATTATGCCTGTGTCAATTGATGCGCCCAATCACAAATCGGTTGTTACGAATCAAAATTATTCGAGATTTGATGAATGAATGATAAGATAACGGCTTAATTATAGCTTGAGTTTTATGTAAAAAACCTGGCCCAAACTATGACTGTGATATTTCCATGCATTTTCTTTTCAAATATTGCATAATGCTCAAATTATCGGTGAAATTCATGTACTTCATAATAAATTAAAAATCGAAATTAGCATTCTAAATATGAATAGCTTTGAAAGCACCCAATAATCATTGTAAACTTGTTGCAAAAAACATTAAAATTACATATTTTAATAGTTATGTAACAAATGGTGAGCAAAATTACGTGATACTTACATCGCACTGTTCCTTTTTCAGTGTCTGCTTCAAATCTTTAAAGTACAAGCCATGAACATGTGGAGCGATAAGCCACGCTATACTCAAAGCAGCACTTATTGCTTGGTCACTTCCTTCACACGGAGTTCGTACGTAATGCATCACAAAACCAAACTGAAGACTTGATAAACTATAAACCACTCACAATTTCTAAGAAATTCTAATCTTAAAAAGATTGAAAATAATCAGAAATTGAAGTGAAGTAAATTTCTAGTTCAAAGTTGAAGGACATTGAAAAAGATGGAGCAAAGCGATTCACTTATTTACAAATCATAAAAAGATACATTTGTTTTTTAACAAACAAAAGCTTATTTTTCATCAGACGGCCAAAAACTGATAAAAGACGATATAGAATGAGAGAAACCCAACCAAAAATAGATTATTATAAAAGCAGTCTCAAGTCGAATAATGATAGTGCTATGATTCACAATAATTATTATTAAGTCAATCATTCTCTTACGCGAAACGTACAAAATAATTCATCAAAGTATACGCAGTTTGGCAGGGTAAGGGTTGAAATCGCAGTATCATCTTGCGCATCAACGAAATCAAATGCTCCTGAAAGTTATTGGATAAATTATGAACTGGAGATAAAATAATTTTAAAGATAAGAGAGAGGGTAAGAAAGAGCTCACTTGCAAATTTTTGCACAAATATCTTTAAGATATAAACTTGAGCATATTCGTCATTTGAGCATAGTATTTGTTTGAGATTGATGCAAATAGGAAAAAAGTAAAACAAACAAAACTGAACAAATTGGATCTGTTACTGATAACAAAGCATAAACTTGAAAGTTACTGAAAATTTTCAAAAGCTTTTCTCGCACGTTTTTTTGTAATATTCATTTAAAAAAATCCAAGAAAATGCTCTAAAAATTATGTCACGAAAGCTACTTTGCAGAGCATACCAAATTTTCCAGCATTATTTCACTATATTCCTCATGTAAAGAACAGAGCAATAGTTAGTTACATGCATTATTGCAACCAACATAAAAAATAGTAGCGAGGATGGAAATTAAATTCAGAGATTTTTACAGCTCTAAATAACTACTTTTCATATCGATAATATGCAACTTACTGCATTTGCTGCCTCTAATCACTCGATATTACTGACGTTATCGAGGCAAATAAAAAAAAGAGTGCGGAAAAATAATACTTGCCTGGCGGGTACGATTCGTAATTTTTTCTAAGAAATGACGAAAAAATAATGCAGGATCTTCAACAATACATGACCATATAATTTTTTCTGCGACATCACTCACTGAATTAAAAAAGTTGAAATGTCTTGTAGCAAATAATAGCCAAGAGTTTCCGTTAATTATGCTTGCGAGGTAATGCTTGTTTCCTTACCAAAACACCACTTAATTTCTGAATTGCTATTTACTGTTCTATTATTTTTCCCTTCCAATTAATCAAGCAAAACCGATCAAATTTGTTTAAATGATGAAGAGGAATAGGTAGCAGAAAATTCTGATAAGTACCGGATTTTCCGAAAATGTCCAGTTTCACATCATCTAACATTTCGATGATTGTGGGAACTACAGAAAGTATAGAAGAGGGAAATAGTGGCTGCGCCACTGGCATTTGCTGTCGAGAAGAACTCACGTGCATATCGCATTCTAAACTTTAAATTAAATAAAGTTGGAAACAAAGGGCAGAAAAAGAAAAGCTAAAAACATTCTATTAGATAGCTTTCAACAATCGACTTGAGAGAACAAGAATATTTTAGAAAAATAAAAACGTATTTTTAGTTTTGAAAATTTTGCCTAGAGAACTGCAAACTTCGTTATTCAGGCAGTTAATTTTTGTTTTTTGTTGATTACTTATTTTGAATTCAATCCTTTAATTCATCGAAATTCAATTCTCGGGTCTCATTTAAAAGGATAATAATCTAGATTGACTGGCTCGAACAGCTTTATATAAAATGTTCACTCTTGAAAAATGTAAGCTCAAAAGAAAGTCCAAGAGTTTTTTCGACCTTCTCCATTTGAATCGGCAATAACTTGAGGTGGCTGGTGGTGAAACAGCGCAGGCTCATATGCTGCTTGTTGTATGATAGCTGTGGCACGCAGCGGAAATTTTTGACGCAAACCGCTTTCATGTTCCTCTGACTCATGAACCGCTCGACGAACCATCTCTTCTTTCTGTTTACGACGTGTTCTTGTCATCGTCATTATTGTCTGACTCTAAAACTCTTGCAAATCCTATTCTTAATCTACGGAAAGCAGTTATTTCAGTGAGTTCTGTTTGTTTAGCTTAAAGTTTTCATATATTAAATGCAAGATTCACAAGTGCTTATTATTTTTGCTACTAATATTTAAGAATCGATGACATCTGCAATTAGTTCAGCATTATCATTCAGTTATTTACTGCCAAAATATTTAAAAATTGTTTGACATGCTGATGTGCTAAAATGCACTCCTAATTGTTACAACTGATGCATAATTATTTTAAAACTAATACCAGAATTATTTGCAAACTCATTTTTTTAGATTCTAATAATTAAATAATGAAAAATATTATGTAAATATTAAGATTCAAAAAAATAGCTTCTTTAGGTAGTCTTGCTAGTTTGTACCGTTGCTTGCTCTTCCTCTTTCAAACATAGCTCCTCAACTTTGGTCTTCTCGTGTGGCATCCATGGAGGGTCAGCAATTGTTATGTGACTCTGTCCAATAGGTGGTGACGGTAATGTGAAATCTATTCCAGGTGGTGGGACCTAAAACTAAACAATTTCAATACATTTCGATTAAAATGTTGCACTATTTTCTTGAAACAATATGCGCACCTTGAAGACCAACTGTGCGCCATCATCCATTTTAAGCCAAACATGAAATCGATTGCGCCACAATGCATGAAAACGCCGCAACGCCTCCGTCCGTACTTTAGAATCAGTACTTGACAAACTGCGTCTAATCACACCAACTGTTTGTTCGGAATTACGTACAGAAGATACGATGAAAAAAGATGCTACAAAAATAGTTGCAAATACAAACTATCAGTCAAAGTGCACTGCAAGAAAGGTTAAATCGATTTTAAGTTCTTTATTCTAGATAACGAATAAACTGCTGTATCTTAGAAGTGTTAGTCTTAAAACGCTTCGACTTCAAAAATAAAAATAAAAATAAAAAAGCCTTGATAATATTTAGTTGATTACGATCAAAAATTTTACCAACTGAAGCAACAATGTGTTTATCGCGATGTATTAGTAAATACCAGCAAATATCCAGCATATCTCGAAAATGTTCATCGCGTAATATCAGACAACTTTTGAGAAGGGTTGAAAATGGTGCATGGGCTACACACAAGACCTGGGTAGATATGTATGACAACATGGGTGATGGCGATGTGTTTGCCGGATTTTGACTCATTTCGATTTGTTCATCTGAATCCTATAACCAAATCACCACTTTAAATCATTCATAAATATTCAAATTTTCTAGTATTTATTACTCCAGAAAAAATATTATAAATGAATGTTTGATCAAATGAAAACTAGTGCAATTATGTTTAATTTGAGAAAGATCACTGATTGCCACAAGTTTAAGAAGACATTTAGAAATTCAAAGATGAAATTATACGTCAAATCGCAAACAATTATTGCTCTGATAATCCTTCCATTGTTTTTGACTAACTCCCAATTATTTTTCCGTACCTTTTTCAAGAGAATTCTGCTAAATATGAAAAGTTGACGACTTGAAATAATACGCTAAATTTTTGAAACTGCAAACGATAAAGTGACCTGAAGACTGATATTTCTTCCTCGTCCTTCTTTGTTCTCCTCCAATTCTCCTAATTTTTCAATTAGTAAAGTCCTAAGTGCCATCGAGGATCTATCTAGCATAGCTCCTTGCCGAACAACAGCGCTTTCACGACGATTTATGGCATATCCCGAAAGCCGTTGAGTATACTATAATACAAGAACATAAAACAAATTTACTAAAATTTAATTTACAAAAAAAAACTGTGTCAAAAAGTTTAAAAAAAACAAAAACGAAAAATATTTTTCAAATGATTTCAGCTTAAGAACACAAAACAATTAAAACTAATGCGCTTACAAAAAACATAAGTCCAAAATTGTTATTGAATCAATTAAAAAGATTTTTTTGAATCATTATTAATTGCTAATCTCCACAAAGTGAAAATATGTTAACAAGAAATGATAATTAGTCAAATACATTATGAAAAACTAGTCAAAATGCCTTTTCCTGAATTCAGTTTTTGCAGCAAGTAACAGTGATAATCCATGTAACATACTTTTTTAATATTTTCCTGACGGTTTAACCAGGCGTCAACCATTGCTTTACGTTTATCTAAATGCCCAGGTGCTGGTAATTTTTCACCATAAACTTTGCGTAGAGCTTCTGTCAAACGATAACATTGTCGATAGACACGCTCGAAACACCATGGATGGCAAACCCTTTCGTGATTACACATTAAATTAAACGAGTTTGCCATATCTATTGCAGTCTAAAACTGTCATATTTCAATTTGAAGTTTTGATACAAAGTACTAGTAGTGTGCCGTAATTCAAAAAGTAGTACTAATGTAATTAAATAACGCAACTTTAGCGGAAGTGAAAGAGCATATCGCAATAATAAAAACGGAGTGATGCAGCATAGTATAAAAAATATTACATTTTTTATTATAATACGACCATTTGTTAATACATTACCGATTCCTCACCGAAGGAAAAATTTCAAGTATTTTTTTCCGAGTTCCTAATTTGCCCAATTGTTCTTAGGTGATTTTAATAAAAGTTTTAAAGAATTGAAAAAATTTTTTATTCTGTACAAAAACTTAATAGCTTTTGTATGCTAAAACAAAGCTACACTTAAATGATTACCGATAATTTTTGAGAAATATTCACACCCATAAATGGTACTGCTTCAACAAGCAAATCTCGACAGCAAAAAGGTTTTGGTTAAATAATGCTAGCAGTGATATCACTTTTCTAAATCAGTTTATATCCACTGATTACAAGTTTTATATTAAAAATTAAAAATTTAGTTTGAAATCGAATACTAATTATAAAAAATTCAATACTTCAACTTCGATAACATAATGTTGCATGTGGACTAATATAAGAAAAATGTCAAACCTTTATCCAAGGTAAATTCTTGCACATTAACTCCTCATCAGCATCAAAATTTTGTTGTGATTGGGAGTAATGAGATACATTTGGCCGTGAGGTACTACCTTGAGTCGAAGATGGCACTGACGTTGCTGTATTCATTTTTGGACCAATTTCTGTTGACGCTGTGGTATCATTTGATTGCTTTCGAGCTTCTTTCAGTTCGGAACCACCACTACTTCCAGACACCACTATACCAGTAGCTAATACCAAATTTTCTTTCAAAAAAGGTTTAATTCCTTTTTGTTACTAATTAATTTTTTACATAAATTTGGTATTATTATACCACACTTGATAAATTTTACTAATAATTTATGTCGATATTTATGACCACTGGAAGGAAAGAATCCACATTCATCAAAAATATGAGTATGCGATGAGAAAAGTTTACTGGATTTGGACAGAAAAGAGATTACTCGAGCAAATAACATGAAAATTTATACCATATGAGTCATTCAAAAAATAGCTCACTTCATTTTTTGATATTTAGCAAATCTTTCTATTCCTATTACAAAATTCTGGTGTTTCAGCCAAAAAAAAGAAGTTACTCAGGCAATAAAGCAGACTGAATTAATTTATGGCTCTTAGGTAAAAAGAGTGGAAACTGTTGCGACGGAAATAACTTACCGATATCAGCAGCACCATCTTTTTCATCCTCATTGAGTACACCTTTAGAAGACCTCAAGTTCCTGCAAAATTGTCAGCTGCGCAACCAGCAAACAAATGTAAATGACATAAAATTAAAAAGGAAAAAATGAGTAAAATAAATAGACGTTCATTACATTTGTTTAAAAAAATTCGTTTTAGACTGAAAAATTTGTGACAAAGTTTACGAGAAGAAAAGAAAAAGTCTCAAAGCATTTTCAGGGAAAAAATTTTACCTAGTGGTTCGGTGAATTTTCTCCATTGTATCAGAAGGCTGTGATGCAGTATTAGACGGTGAACCGTACCTCAACAACCGCTGACGGCCCTGTGTTAATCTCCAACCTGAAATTAGCTTAAAAAACTGTACAAGACTCAGGAGGAATAAATACAAATGTTCAGCGACAGAAACAAACGCATTTGAGTCGTGTTCACGTGCGCTTCAACAATAAATGTAAGTGAGCTCAGACGAAAAGTTTTCATAATATTAAATATAAAAAATATACACCTTCTGGCAAGCTCATTTTCAATTCTGTCTAGAGAAAAGTGCCTTAATTAAGTCCATCACTAAAGAAACCTTTTTTGTCTCCTAATGAAACGTTTTCATCAGGTGGTTCATGCGAACTTCTTGATGATTCTTCGTCATTTGTAGATAAGCTGATTCGACGATCACCTTCTCCATAGATAATTTAGCTATTTATTACATTTTTTTTCAAAATTATAAACATACCTTCTTATCATTTTTTCAAAATTATAAACATACTTTCTATTAGTATAATAATCCTATAGTACCGGAGATATTTCAGTACTTACATTTATCTCATATAGTATAATTTACAATACATTTTACTCATGCTATTCTTTAACTTTACTTTGTTTCAGAGATTTTTGTCCAGAACTAAATTTAATTTAGCATATGTTTAGCATCAAGAATAATAATGAATAAGTAAATAATTAATTAATTTAGTAATTAAATTACGATGAATTGACGGATTCACATCAACAATACTTTGAACACTGGTCGGTGTTTGCTGATGCTGCTGAGGATTGAACGTGTTCGAAAGTATGGACCATCGACGACTGGACATTAACTTTTCCCAGTTTGAAGTATTCAAAGTAGATTTATTGCCACGTGATAATGGTATAGTCTGCAGCACGATAAATAAAAAACACTTCCTATATGTACACTGTGGAACTTTCAACAGTTCTAATCTTTTCCCGTTCTATGAACGCATAAAATCAACGTATACGCCATTTAGATGCTGATTTAAAAGATATTTAAAAATAAGCTAAAAAGTTTTGTACAGACTTGAAATGTTTCCCGCAAGAAAGCTGTTATTTCATTAAGCAAAATGCAAGCAAGGAACAAAAGTGCAGGTGGACAACGTTCCCCGCTTTCATCGTTCACTATTCCTGAAGATGAAAAACTATCAGAGCATTTCGAAAGCCTTCTCAACTGTTTCCTCAGTTCATTATAATAAACTGCAAAAAACTAAATTCACAACTCATTTTCAAACTAACCTTTGCAAAGATATGTTGAAAAATATAAATCTTATATAACCTTCGTCAAAGAAATCTTCTAAATCGTCATAGATGATTAAATCACGTCGATGGGTATCTGGTTTTTTTGGGCGAACTCCGTGACAGACAGCTCCACCAGTTTCCATTATTCGACAAAGTCGACTGCTGAGCTAAATCATGTGTAAAATTGTATCGCTAAATGCACTACTAAACAATGTTGATTACTTCTATGACACTATTACATAGAACAGAGAACACAAAAAATTAAACAAAATACAATACAATACAGAATATTCAGATGAATTTCATTTTTTGATACATTTTTTGTTCTAATCTGAACTTCGTCTAACCTGACATCCCCACTGATAGAAGCAACGGCCTGCAGCACGTTGGATTAAATGCATACGGCGTGTACTACTAGGTGTTCCGCGATTTCCTAATGGATTATTACTAGCGAAACCGCTGAATTGACGAGCGCTACTAGAACGTATCCATTCCGGCCAGTCACCTAAATACGAAAAAAATTAGTCCATTTTTGTATTTTGTACAACGAGTAAAGTATTACTGTCTATATTTCATGTCAGCAATTTTTACACCACAGTATTTTCTCATACTTTGAATCTCCATCGAATTTTGTTCAAGCTTAAATTGAGATGACTGAACATAAGAAGTATTCATCCTGATTATCGGAGAAATTGATTGCATACCTTTGTTACAACGATGTACAAAAGAGGCACATTCAAGTAAAAGTGAAGCACGAGCAAGCACAGGTGATTTTAGATCAAGCAACGCAGCAAGAAGTGGAGGGTCAGGGTAGCTTCCGGGTCGACAAGTTTCCAGGAAAAATGAAAAGCGACGTATGCCTTCCTGAATACCACGTAGATTCACAAGTTTACGTGGAGGAAGGTTCAGGTTCACTGTTGATGGCCGATTTGAGAAGGACATTTCTGAAAAAACATAAAAAGACCTTCTCTAACACCTTCAACTATTTAAATTTTGAAATGTTTACTCGTAAAAAAAAAGTCAGTGAAGTTTTAAGGATTGAAGATTGAACTGGAAACAAGATTTATTTAAAATCATTTCAGTCCTTGAAATCAAAAATGTAAAATTGTACAATTCATACAAAATTATACAATTAATTAATCATTCAATGCATTAAAAAATGTGGGCACATTGGCGAGAAATTAGAACCACAATGAAAAAACTAACCCTGGAAATCATCTGCTATTTCAGATGATTTCCAGTGAGCCGAAAGAATTTTCGGTGCAGGGGGTTTCTGTATCCCCAAACTTTTTGTACGGCGTTCATCTTGAGTAGGAAATTCATTCTACAAGCATATTTTAGCTCAAAGTCAGTTACATAACAACCAAAAAATAAGCTGAAAGTTCTTACTTCGACTGAAAAAGAAAAAATAATAAAATTGATTTGATGAACTGTTCATATGTTCATATAACTGAGCATATATATATATATATATATAATTTTTGGTTTAAACTTCAAAATAGATGAAAAAGATGTATATGGTGGGGCAATGAAAAATAGCTTTGGGCAGAGTTGTTCGGGGCAAAGGTCATCTTGAACTGCCTCATATTTGTAAATAATGTCCCCCCTGGAGGCAAAGATTATCTATCTTCCTTACTCTGAACCGAATTTTTGCAATCATTACTTCAAAATGACCGAAACTGTAAAATTATAATTTTCATCATTTGATCCGCTACAAAGTAATGAACAGTGCGATTTGATTTTCAATGTAACTGACCATCTGGAGGTGATGCCTATCAAAAATCTGCTGATACAGGATGGCATGTTGAGCTTTTGAAATTATCTTATCAGATAATTGCGACTAAGTGAAACTAGAAATCAGATACATCGTGCCTTTGTAGAACTATGGGTCCTGTTCCTTCCTATCCAAACAAATCCGCCTAGTAATTGTGTATACCGGATTCACTTCATAATAAAAAAGTTATAGATTCCATCAGAGTCCGTTCCATTTCGGAAATTTCGAAAACTATCTTCCCAAATTCGGCTTCACATGGGAAAGCATCACGCACTTCAGAGTCTGGAACGAATTCTTCCAGATATCCATTGAGCCGATTATCTTCATCTTCCCGCATTTTCGAATTCCACATCGTGGCCCAGAACTTTCTGATTTCTTCTGTCCCTACATTGTGGCTAACAAGTTGTTCCTCAGTTAGCTCTCTATAAAACCGCCTTCTGAACAACTCAAATCTGGCATTTGAATTTTAAATGCACATCGGGACTCATAACTTTTTCTTTTACTTTCATGAACTCTCACACGTTCAGTCAGCATGCTTGGTGCCAGACGACAGTCACGTTTGAAAGCAAGTGTGAGATTCATGCTCCTCGTTCACCTTTGACCTCCTTCAGGTTTTTAGCTTCAAGTACGTCACCGGCCAAGTACAGCTCTATGAGGGTTTTGTAGAAGTTGTTGATGCTTATCTTTTTTTTTTAATGCTTGCCTTCTACCTCGATAGCTTCTTTTCCCGCCTTATCATATTTTCATAGCATAACATTATCGTCCCACCTGAATTGCCTTGCAAAATCAGTCACTGACTTGGAAAGAAGGCTCTGTGTGGCATATCTATCTGCCGCTTGATTTACAGCTCCAAGCAAGTTGATTTTCTCCGAGATCATTTTTCCGCATCTTTTTTGTCTGGTCTATCTCACGTCCTTGTGCTTTTTGCATCGACACTACGTATTTCTCCTTTAAATCTAGATAAACAGACTTCCGCAGGGTATTTTGATCGAAGCACGAATCTTGTGCTCTGACACGTTGAGTCTTCAAAGAACCGTTTCTGCGAGCACGAACGTACTGTAATACTGATGATTGCAGCATTCTCTTGTTTCCTCAGTTGTTGAAGGCTAAATGCGACACAAACTTCTAACAGTACATGGAACGACACAAGCGCCGTCCCCCTCTCGGCATCCTCCCGAAACGGACAAGAACCGCCTTCAGCACTTCACCTGGTAAACTGCTTTGCAGAATCTCGATTCCTCGAATGATATCTTCAAGCTTAATTAACTACTGGTTCCTGGTTTCGATAAGCTGGCAGAGTGCTCTCCTACATTTTTCACGGGCCTTTTTGCAACCTCATCTGCTTTCCCATTGTTTTCCACTATAATTCCAGAAGCAGTTTTTCTCTGTTCATCCTCCATTTTCTTCTCGAATTTCTGATATCCTGGCTGTACGACCACACAGCATTCTTTCTGGTTTGAATTATTTTTGCAACGGGGTTTTTGTTCCGCTTTATTCATGCCATGCGTGCCATTTTTCTCTACTTTCTTCGCTTGTTTTCTCTTGTCTTCGTTGCTTCAGAAGTACTGCAACAAGGGATTGCATGAGCATTGTAGTTATGGTCTGCCACCTCTTTTCGTTTCTTGGAAGTCGCCTGTGATGTGAAAAGTTTCTTCGGAAAATCGCTCCCAGCCATTAGATAACTGATCTATTTGAATTTTAGGATGTTTTTTAGTATTACTATTATCTCCACCGTTCCCGCCATTTACTTCCAGAGTCACATCACTATATTGCCATAACAAACAGAAATAGGATAGAGAAAAGAATACAAAACCAGAAATTATGGGAAATTAGTAAGGTACACGCTATCGTCCTCGATACTCGAGTAATTATACCATATATATATATATATATATTTCTCATTCCAATTATTTCTCATTCATTGATTAAAATTAACATAACTGCTGTAAAAAAGTGAAATAGAATCCTACTTAAACTAGAAAACAATTTTTTCTTTTTCAGATTCAGCAGCTTTAAAGTCGTTAATTCTTTTTGTATTACCAGTTTTGAGGTAGTCAATTTATTTACCTGACTTTTTTCATCATCATTTATTTCGATATCTGAACCGTTGTCTTCCACATTATCAGTCCGAACTGATTTTAGTAGATTCAATGCTAAATTAATGAATGAAAATTAAGTATTCATTCAGATTATTTATGTAATTGGAAGGTTGAGCTCGATAGGTGGAATCTGCAGTCAAATAATATTTTACTATATTTTAATAAGTATGGAAGAATTTACTAATCCTAAATCCTCTTATCTTTCATTTCAGTAATAACTAAGTGACTTTCTCAATTATCAGTAAACAATCTGAATGAAGAAGGCAAATGTTAATTACAATCAGAACTGTAAAACAACTTCAAGTTTTGCCAAAAAAATTAAAATTTTTGATTTTACGGAATGATGGATGTAATTATCAAATAACTAAGGCTAAACTAGTGCTTAAACTAAAAGTAGTAAAACACTTAAAATCTATTATAAATGATAATATTAAGAAACTACCTATATCAAAACCCGAATCTCACTTCTATTTGAAAATTTGTTAAACTAACCGTAAGTCTAGAAAAACCACTATTTAAAAATTACTTGGAATTTTTAATAAATATTAAGAAGTAACTTAAAAATGATTTAAAACCTATTAGTTTCCCAACAGTTTCATCAGTATTGTTCATGATTTCCATGCATTTAATGACTAATTTGCTCAATTTAAAAAGTATGCAAAATTTTAGAGAAAAACATAGGAAGCCAAATGATTTTAGAAATAAAAATTCGACAACAATAAATTGACCGTATTAGAATATGTAAATTTTATTAACCGAAATGAAGTTTTCCACCACTTTTTTTCTTCACAGTGTGCAAAGGTAGCAAAGGTGAAGCTGATGAACTAGCAGAGGTCATCTCTTCACCAGTTTGTGGATTTCTTGGAGTAGAAGGAGACGAATCCAAGTCACTTTCGTCAGTATTAGGGGCCTAAAATAATCGCAAACCACAAACAGCTTTTTGCGATTGGTATTCAAAATTTCAGCGAAGTTTTGATAAAGGTTTAGAGATTCAAAATATAGTCTGGAATCATACTTAAATTTAAGCATTCATACACGATAACCCGGCGATAGTATTTTCTAATTAAATTTACATTTTATTTGTTCTAAATATAATCAGCAGAATAATCATATTTCTTTCGTCATAAAAATTTTTGGTATCAATTAATTTTCAACTGTTAATTCTCATGCCAATCATAGCTTTTATATTACAAAACCAAAAGTTAGCATCTATAAATTATAGCAGTAATGCACAAAACAATGTTTTTGCAGAACTCAAAGTCAACTAAGTTTGTTCAAAATTATAGCTTAAAATTCACGTGAAATAAATGATACTTTTTCTCGTTTTTTGAATAAACCTCTACGCAAAGAAGCAGATTCACGTGTATGTACAGGTGGCGCCAAACCACTGAGACTTGAACGTGTGCTTCCATCTTCACTGTTATAATCAGATTTCGATTCAGTCCTAAAATATGCAAATTTGTTGTTTTCGAGAAAAAATAACTAAAAGGGTAAAAAGGTACACTGACTGACGAAGAACAGGAAAAATTTCATTTTGCATGCGCAATGTATGAAATGAAAGGATAAGCAATTCTGCGGAAGCAAAAATATATGCAAAACTGGTAATTAATTTAATTCTTTAGAAATAAATTAAGAAAGAAAAGCGCACATACAGTGCACTCGGAAAATGCAAAGAAAACAGAATTTTCATCTTCAGTTTACAGTCTTAAAATGGAACAAAAGTTGAAACAAGTTTAGTCCGATGCTTAATTTAGTGAAATTTTGAGCAGCAATAACTGATATATAATAAAGTAGTATTTATCCCACCATTAAATTGAAGAAATTCAATTTTTAACAATGCAAATGTTTAATAATGTCTCACTGAAACGAACAACAATTCAATCTCTTAATTAGTATAAAAAATTCCATTTGCGTCAGATTTTTGTTACTCATTTTTAAAAAAATGTATTGTGATAACTGTAATGCAAATTATTTGTCTAATAAATATAGAAGAAATGCCTTTACGGAATTTCTAGATATATTTTTTAAATGCTTTTGTTTGGAAGAATATTAAATATTGGGTCAAGAATAATTTTTGAAAGAAAAAGAACTATGAGAAGCAAGCGTAATTTCGTGACCTAAACTACCTGAAAAATGCAGTTTGCCGAAGAAAATGTTTTGTAAAAACAAAAAAGACCGTTGGAAGCAAAATTGCCTTATAAAGATATAAACATATGCATTTTGTTATATATAAATAATAATTGTTAATTTCAAAAGCATTAGTTTTAAGTAAATTGCGCCAACTGCACCTAGAATTCAGCATCTGTTCGACTTTTAAAAGCGGACAGTCAAAAAATGTTTTGGTTTTCTTCTAAATTTGTTGTAAACACAGGCAAGAAAAATAAAGTCCACAGTTAGAAGTAATAAAAAAGTGAAAAAAATTCCAAATCCACGTGTAATTTTAAGTCCATGTTACAGGATAGAAATTAGTAGACAATTTTTTTACCAATATAAGTGAAAGTGAAGTTTTTTTTCGTTCTCTCGATTGAAAATCCTGAATATTTTACTAACGATAGTGAGTTGTCAATTTCTAGACATGACTCAATAAGCTTCAAATTTAAAAGTTCTTAATGTTAAATAAAAGATCTATTTTTAGACTAACCAGACGTTTTACTATTTTATTCACTCCATAGAAATCTTTAATTGATTGAATGCAAAATATAAAGTTATTAAATAAAAAATAATATATTTTGGGACATTTGAAGGTGAAACGAAATTGATCAGCATTTACAAGACCAAAATATTAGGGATGTAGACGATAGGTAAGAAGTATCTCTTTTTATAACATTAGTTACTCGTTGTCATCGTTGCTAGCATATTTTGCAGATCGTTCTGTTAGAAATATTTCAGGTAGAGGGTACAGATAAGATGCCCGACGGGAAGATTTCTCCTCCGATAAATCACTAAAAGCATCACAAAATTTTACTCTTAATTACCAATTTACATAAGGTAAGCGAAATTTGGTACTGACACATCAAGAGTTGAACTGAGTTGAAATTGATCATCCGCCGGCCATCCATCCAACAAAGCGCTTAATCCGACCCGTCGAAATGGATTACCATGCTGTTCCTGGATAAATGTGACAAACAGCCGAACATCTTGATACAAACTCTGAAAAAATAGAAAACTTTCTATGTAGCTAAATTCTTCTCATCTATTAACAATACAGATATACCGAAAAGCAAGAAGATCAAGAACATTTCATGAGTTGCCATATTTTGCGTACTTTTACTTGCCACAAACATACAGTTTTCTTTTCGAAGTTGCTAAGTTTTAGTAAGCTTTATTAACTCTCTTAAACATCCAATAAAGTGTTTATTATTCGGCATCGGAATGCAAACAAATTCTAAATCTTTAGCTTCTACTTGAAAAAATCATTACTGATCAATAGTTTTCTATGCATCAAAAGTCATAGTTCTTGATCACAGTCAACAAAACCAAAAAAATTTCTACAACAGACCATGTTTTCGGGTTGCACAAGTTCATGCATAGTTTTCATTAGTTTGGAAATGACTGGTTTTAAGATCACTTTGATTACTATTCCTTCGATACCTTTCAGGTTTTCATTAAAATTATTGTGATAAGCTGGAACCGAATGTTCAGACTTCACTGTCTGGCGTCGTGGTGAAGAAGTACTTCGTGAACGATACATACCAGCTATAAACGCTGAATTAGTAAATTAAGTTAAAGTTTTAAACACCCATTACTCTCAAAACAAGTCTTCCCTACCAGCATAAGTTTATTTATACTGATTAAAACTTTCTTAGCAATTTATAACTTTATTAGTTATCAACAGATTTTCAATTTCACGAGCGCTACGTAGTTCGCACAAATTTTGTTTTATTTCATCAATTTTATGTGAAAAACTTTCCTCTACAGTTGTTTATAAGCATTATGAAAATCACAAATATTGAATTAGAAGCAATTTGTATTAAATACTTGAATGCGCATTACTTTACTTCAGTAATCGCAATATTTTTATTTATCACACTATTTTACTTCAATAAATTTACAACTCAAGAAATGAAAGTAACGGTTACTTAGGTGAGTATTCTTTTCACATCAACAATGGGTGATTTTTCGTAAAATTTAGTGCAAAATTGAAATTTTGAACTTCAATAGTATTTGGACTGTAATAGACCCCTTTGAAAAGATTGGAAAACAATCGAAAAATTCAGAGGCTAGTAGCTATATATAGCGGTATCTCAATAACAGATGACATTCTATCACATTTTTGTAAGACTTACCTGTAATATCACATTTACAGAATCCGGTAAGTGAATGCAGTGTGTCCATCAAAGCTTGCGGACCATATTCTTCAATATGGCCAACGAGCAATTGAGCAAAAATTTGGGGATCAAACTGATGAATAATTGCCAAGATAGTACGAGCTTTCACACGTAAGAAATCACCTTGACGTGTGCGTAAACCATCATTACATCCAAGTGGGCAACCAAGCCATAAATATATTCTAATAAATATTCAGATTTACACTCAATTTCCAAACACACTTTGAAAGACAATGACGAAAGTGGAATTTTTTCACAGTAATAATTTTTTCGTTAAAACAAAACAGACCAATTATGACTCATCTTGCAACATCTATAGTAAAAGCGAACTGCATTCAGTAAATTCTGCATCAGGAATTTGTAAACTTTTAAACGAAATTCTAGAAATAATGTTGCAGCACCGATTTGGTAACACTTTTGCTTGAATCATATAAGATTAAGACTGGTTTTGAGTGAAATTCTGTAGGAAATGGATATACTTCACAATGAAATGCTTTTGAGACCTGAGGACAATATTAATCGAATTGTCCATAAAGGTTTGAAACTCTGTGCCGGGCATATCGAGGAAAATTTCACAAGCATTCAGTGCTAATTCACAAATTCTAACACTTAATCGCTCTTCAACAATGAGATTTATGGCCTTCAGCAAAACGATGAAGCTGATTTGTCCATTTCGTTCAATAAAGTTTGTGCATCCGAGAGCCTGGAACTAACTTTTCTCAGACTATTACGGGAAGGCATGTCCTATCGCAATTACCATCAATGCCACTAACCGGTTTGTTAGTACTAAATTCCAGGTGGATATGGAACTAACGCTCTACTTCCTGGCAATGCTCATTTTTTGATTCATTTGTTATCAGAGTAATGAAAAATTTATGCATGCGCCTGACTAGTTTTAATCTCAATCTTCTGGTCGTTTCTGGTTACAACAAGTATTATTTCAGCATTATGAAATGTGTAAAAAAAGAAGAACTGAGTAATCTCAACAAAAATTGTTCATGCGCAAAAAGTAAGAATGTTTCACTTAAGCCTTAGCGAAATTCTTTGGAAATCAAAATCTTTCGCTTGCTTTTCGAATAGAAGAAGTTTGAAACTAAAGTTATGAATGAAATCTTAACTTTACTTACTGAGAATTCACCAGGAAAAAAGATTACTCAAATTTTATTTTCTAAATTCATTACTTTGTTGCACCAAATGACAAAAAAGGACTAAAGAAATCGAATCAAAAATTACAGAAATTTTCTTTCAAATTCGGCTGAACCAATTTTTTATATGATTTCAATCTTGGTTGCGTTTAATTTTATCGACAGTTGGAATTTCAAGTAATAATACTGCCAATATCAAACATTTTAAATATTTGCAGTCTCTCAGTAAAATCAAGCAAAAGTAGGAACTTCTGGAAAGAAGTGTCGAGTGCTGTGTTTGTTAGCTGCTTGACCAGGTAGCGCTGAAATAGAACAGCTTCTCCCATCGCGCACAGAGAGCACTTCCGAGGAGTTCGTCAAAGAGGGATCGCTTCTGTTTGAGAGAAATAAAATAATGTAAAATAATCACCAGTACAAGCACTTCCAATTCATTTCACAAAATCAGTTACAATGAAGAAATTATCTACGATAAGGATTCTTGAGACAGGTTTAAGAATCTGTCTCACGATGTGAAAAAAATTTAGAATAGAAATTATTAATATATATACAATTTAATTTAAATTTGATTTCAGCCTTATCAAAAGATACACTGAAAAATAAAATAATAACAGTGAAACTTTATTTCGTTCTTCTGAAATAAAACTTGACAGATTTTTCAAAATCTGTCAAGTTTAATAAAGAAGCATGATATTGCGAAATGATTAGAAAACCACTTCATGACTGGTCATGTGTACCTGTTTCGTTCCAGATGTCCACGTTTATCACGAGATTTGACAAAACTTACTGAGGTTGCCATAATGCTTTGTTTTGAAGAGCTCTTTACTATCAGTGATGCTTTCGCTGATAAACTACAATGTTTACAACACTAAGTATTTCTAGAACATATATTGGCAGATATGACTGCATATTTTGATAATCTTTCTCAAGAGTTTCCATTTTTTGTTCAATTTCAAAATATTCAACATGAACTGAGAATTTCATCCAGAGGTTGCCGCAATTAGATAGTTGATAACCGTTTCAAAAGCATCAGAATGCATTTATAAAACTGTTGAAACAGAATCATTCACTATCGAAATTGACATTTTCCCATTTATTTCGACATTTAAGTAACCTCTATCTACTTAGGTATTTAATTTGCACTGGGAAATGCTAATGTGTTTTTAATAAATAATGTATACTGTAAAAATTTACTTCTTCATTGACTGAGTTGATGTAAATTTCAGTCTTCCACTTTTTTCCACTTCAATATTTTCCAGCTTTCTAGCTACATTTTTTAACTGTAAGTCTTCCCAAGTAGATAATTGATGATGAATTTCTTGCAGATTTCGATGATTATTCTAAATTACTGAACAGAGTTTACAGATGCAGGGAGAAACCAATTTCAATACAGTCAGAAAATTAGCAAAGATTCAATTTTTTTACATAAATTTTGGTCAGCGCTACAATTTTTAGAAGAAAGAGAAGCAATTTTTAAAAGAGAAGCAAAATATGCCCTAAAAAATTTAACAGCGACTAGTAATGTTACTCGCTTTTCTTTATAGAAAATCTTTAAAAGGTACCACTTCAGATGGGAACAATTTTAAATGCTGCAAGTTAGGTACTGATTTGGAACGTGAGCGGAAGAGATCATTCTGAGCATTTCGATGTATTTTAATTTCGAGCAATCTGTGCAGTAAATATTTCATAGCCCAAAAAATACCTTCTTCTGCCCAATGTTTGATCAAAAGGCAACGAATTACTGCGACATCTAAGTAAGTTGCCTCCTGAGGATCACCTCTTGGCTAAATAGTTCAATAAGCTAATCAAAAGTCGAAATGGATATTTGATAAACTTGAAATATCGATAGTAAAATTAAAACATCGTCAAAATTGAGAGTTCAATTTACAGAGGACCTATCAGTTTCTGATTTTTTAAGCAAATCTTTTCATCACTGTATCTCAAAAAAATATCAAAAGCTAATGATATAAAAATATTTCTTCTTTGAAAAAGATAGTACGCTTTAAAAATTTTCCCTTCAGATTCTTAACTGAAAATAAAGAATACAAGAAAATAAAGTAAAATAAAATTTCTTTAAATGCAAATTTGGTAAATTTTAATAGACCTGTTGCATAGTACTGCTCTGGTAAGGAATGTTTTCGAGTGGATCAAAAACATTAGAGGTTTCTTTAGCTACCAAATTTACTTTTTTTTTCATTTTTCCCATTACTTTTTCGTTATTCTGAGTACAAACTGCGCCTTCTAAAATTAAAATTTGCAAGATATGAATTATCTTCGCTTGTCATAAGTTATTCCTTATCAAAACAAATTTAATGAAGCCAGTTACTGATTCTAATTTCACCTTGAACTATAAAAAAAATTATTATACTATTTACCGGCATTAATCTCAGCCACCGATGAATTCATACTGGACGAGATTTCCCTTGAGGGGATGAGAGTGACGCGTGACGAGAGGGAATCTCGTCTGCACTTGCAATTATTTAGATCGACATCCTCCTGATGCATCACTAACTCGCATTTTTTGCAAGTAATCTGAATTTCAACTGGAATTAGTCCTTTTAAGAATTATAACATTTGGCTGATATATATGTACACTCTAAATTCTAATCCAAGCTATGATAGAAGGATGAGCAGCCCAAAGTAACAGCAATAGTAGTATTTTATTATTAATTGCACTATGACAGTGAATTCAAGAAATTATGGTGAGTGCTGGCATCAGTGAAGTAATACTGAAAATAGTAATTATATTATTCCATATTTTGTGTTTACTATGAACGAGACTGTAAAATGAATGAATGAATAAATGAGGATATAATGCTAATAAGTGCTAATGAAAAAGTATAAACATAAATTAAAAGAAGAATATGCTAAATCTTTTGCCATATTTTAACAGCCTTCTCTGTTCATTGTTTTAATGAAAAAATAAAAAATATCGGTAGCTGATTTTAACTTTAGGATGTTTAAAAACATCGTCGAGCAAAATGAACTAGTTATTTACTTAGTTGCTCATTCTTCTGCTAGTTAATTCTTTTGTCTTAAATTCGGTTTTTGAGTTTTGTTAAAACAAGACTGCAAGTATTTTTTAAACTTATATCTAAATTTTGGAAATTCAGTTACATGAGAACCAGTTTGTGGAACACTTTCAAGATCTCCAGAAGTACCGGAACATATTTCTTGCAAAAACACTAGAGGTGCTTTTTCAGAAATTTCCTGCATAGCATAACTGAGAGACTTGTCGTCTGCAAAATGCAAGACATCATCAAGCTCGGGAATACCTTTGCATAAGCCTGAATATAACAAGAAGCTGATTTTGATTTTGGGTTGTTAAAGAAACATCGCTAAACAAAATAGAAAAATTACTTATTTACTGTACAAATTAATGCTTTAAGACAAATGAGTCACTAAATTGTTATCCATTTAGGAACTATTCTAGTGAAAGTTGTTTTCCAGTTTTTGTTCAAGAATGCATATTGATAGACCAACAGAGACAATTACTTCTTGAATATTTCCAGTTTAATATTGACTTGCGAAATAATTTGGGATTATTTAAAGCGATCAGTTGTAACAAAAAATTGAGATCTGACTAACTTGGCGACTTATCAGTAAATGTCATAGCGCGACTTTTTTTAAATAATCCGCGAATATTCGATGCATCCTCATCGCTACGGTATTCGCTAACACTTCGCACAACTAAACCTATTTTGTCAGGTAGTGTGTTTGCGGCCTGCTGAAACAAATCAGTTACTATCGATTTTGGAAGTTTCTTTAATTAAAGTTATTAAAAAAACCAGACTTGCAATCAAAAATAGAGAAAGATTGAACTTATGGTGGGCTACCGCTAATTTTTTGCTAGAAAAATACTAAAAATAGCGTTTAAATATTTTAATATGGAAAAATCTAGCTTAAATTAAAGATTTGAGACAAAATGCAAAATAAAAGACTGTATTTGTAGAAGTAAGCGATCATCAAATGAGAAACTTTTATTTTTTTAATTAATAAGATCATTTTTCAACAGTTCTGCGTATTTCAGGAATAATTTTCTTGATTTAAATGTAACTAATTTAAAGATAAATATAAATAATTCAAGACTCACTTCTTGAAACTTTTCTTCTTGCTGTTGCTTTTTCTGATCGCATGCGTCTACAGAAAGCGAAGCTAATGCCGCAGCTTTTTCACGTTCTTTACGCTTTCTCAAACTTGAAAGTACTGCAAGATCTGTACGTGGTGGTTTTGGTGGTGGAGCATCTATGAGCGGAGGAAACTTGGCATTTTGCGCTGGAACTGTAGAGAAACGTCGAGTTTGTGCTTCGTTTTCACCACCTTAATATAAATTTCGTGCTATATTTGCTCATGATATAAGTGAAATGAACCAGCTATTCATCTATTTAAAAAAGTTTTCGGTCAAATATTTTCTTTTGGAAATACTTGAAAAAACAACAGGAAATGAAATAAATAGTCAGCGCGTTGATCATTTGTGTATAGCCTATAATGATAATGATAAAGTTTTCATCTGTATGGCCTGTAATCAATGATGTTTGAAAATTGCTCATATGATAATGATAAAATTTTGAATCGAATACTTACTTTGCTTTATAACATTAACAAATTTATTCAATAAAACTTTGATTAAAGGTAAAGTATGCCTGTTCCCTAAAAGCAGTTGCACTGACAATCCTGGAATATTTTTTAATCTTGTGCTACTCGCAAAAACAATTTTAAATTCCCAAGTATTACGATAAAAAATTAATAATAAAGTTTTATATAATTTCAAAAAAGCAAAAAGTAAGATTTAGTATTTATGAAAGTTACTTTGAAGAGAGAGACAATAGAGTACACACCGAGATATATTCCTTGAATGACCGAAGTTGGCTCGGATTTCTTGGTAATTGTTATGATAGGGAAATGCGAGCGACGTTGTTTCACTGGAGCGCAAAAACACAACACATCAGGCTGTCGATGCTGAAACGTTCAACAAATTAGGAACCGTCATGCGCAGCGAGCGCTGAATTTGGTCATGTGAACATAAACAAAAGTTCTGCACAAAACTTTGAGTAAATTGTAAGTAACAAGGCCCGAAAAACTATTGGCAAGGAATTTGATGTAACTCGCCTGCCAGAGACACTGCCATATTTTTAAACCACTTTCCAAACGATAATTTGAAGTGAAATCTTTTTCTGTGATAACATTTAATAGTGGGGCAATCATGTACACAAACAGCTGTATACTACTGATAGAGAAAGCATATTGGCGGACTGGAAGAACACTGAAGTCGCTTGATTCAATCAAACTCTGAAATATAGTACCTTTTGAAAAAAAATTGCAAACAGCCACTCCATAAATATTACCATAAATAAGACAAAATTACTTGAAAACAGTATGAGATAATGAAGGAAGGAATGCACATAATAATAAGAGAGTGAATGCAGGGAATATCAATCTCATGACCGACTATGTAGGAGCTATCAATCACAATAAGTTTCAAAAAATGATGCAAGCAACTGGTGAATTGAATTGACATAAAATGAAAACCGCACCATTTTCGTAAATCCATCCAGTCAAGAATGAGACTCTTTCCTACCTCAGTGAAATAATTCAAGCTAATTTCTGTGCATTTTATACAAAATTTGGATTTTCAGTCTATGAACAAATTTTAATTTCAAATTGCTGACAATATTACTTTTTAAATCTTTATAGATTTTGATTTTTACTTAATTTTGTTGCAATTTCAGAATTACAGAAAATATTCGTGGTTTGTTGTACTTGTTGATTTCTTTATTTGCATTAGTTGATGACTCAATTCCCTATCAAGTAATTTTCAGCTACATACTGAATACTTTCAAAGCTTTAGTTTTTTGTGCTTTTCAATTTAAAGTCCTTTGGCAGAAGTCCTGTCCGCATAAAAATGATCGTATCTTTCTTTTCTTGTAAAATGATAAAGAAAATTGTGTATTTCTTCACTTGTTTTTCTTCAACACTTTAATCAGAAGATTTGTGTTTAGATCAAAACTAATTTTTTGAAGTTTTACAGGATTTCCTTATCAATGTTGTTACATTGCAAGCTTGAAATTAAAAACAAAATCTTAAATTCCTCGGATATCAGAAACAAATACTCAGTTCTGGAAATGCGCTATTCTGAATTGACTAGATCAAGCATTTAATAACTTAAAAAGTTCCAAAATTATAACGAATACATTGAGTGCTGAAATAAAATTTAACAAAAGTTACTTGACTAATCAAATTTATACTTCTCTATTATTTTTAACTGAAAGTGAAAGAATATACCATCGCTATCAAAAATGAAAAAACAATGGAGTTAATAATGAAATTTAAAGGAACAAACCACAATTGCTAGATGTGATTATGATAAAAAGTAATGAAGAATAAATCAGTAATTTGCAACCGAAAAGTACCTTGATTTCGTATTATCATTAGTAAATGAAAATTAACACAAAATTAAAACTATTAAATTTTATTATTTGTTATAAAAAACATTGTAAAAATTATTAAAATTTATTACAAAGTTTGTAAGCAGACTTTGCTTCGTTCAAGATAAATTTATAACAAATCCAGACACGAACACTGCCTACAGTACACTTTGATTCTGTAATGCCCCACCATATGCTTCAAAAAAGATCTATAAAGCAATATTAAAACGAAAGTAAAGCCGACCTTTTAAATTTTTTCTCACATTTCATTTTGCTTTCAGATGAGCTATGCACTGAAATACTCTGCAAACTGAACCAAACTTGTTTATTACTTTTCTGTCAAATATTTGATGATAAATATATAGTATTTTGCACTAGATTAATAAGCACTCTAAATGCCATTTTTTTCGAATTCAACTCTGGTAACAATGTGATCAATTTTAACTACCATGTATAAATGCCTAGCATGACAAGAATCAGATTACGAATCTAGCACATGACCAGATAGAATATGCTGCATTTATCGACAAGTAGTCATTTCTCGAGCCGCATGCTTGTCAAATGGGCAGACTTTAAATAGGACTCAATTATATCTGACTTGTTTATAATTCTACTGGCATAGAGTAGTAATCTCAATGGAGAAGTATAAAAACAGTTCGTGCTCATACATCTCTCTCTGGGGCAGCTGGAAGCTTTAAGTAAAGACTTTCAAATAATCAAGTCTGTGAAAAAAAAACTGTAAACCAAGATAGGTAGCACGGCAATTTAGCATAGAAAAAAGAAGAAAATTTATTTTAACGCTAATCCTTTTTCTTGCTGTGTCAAGTTTAAAATGAAAAACTTTGTCAACTCCATTCTGGAATTACCAAATTTCATTTATCAAAGTTCAACACTTACTATTCGAAACTATACTTCTTTGCAATATTATCAAGAAATTACTCCTGACCAATACAAAAGTATCATATTTCATTTTTTCTATCATTTTTATTGAAAGCGATGGATATATATACCAGTTACAACTTTTGAAAAAAATGCATTCTTTTTATTATTAACTTTACCAACAAAAAAAAACTTGTAGCAAATGTTTCCTATTCATTTTTTGCAGAATATTCAATTACATTCAAGCATTCATGAGCAAAAATATTAACTGAAAATCCGAGAGAAAATTATCACTTCAATCTGAAGTGATAATTTTCTCTCGGATTTTCAGATAATTTTCTCTCGGATTTTATGTAAAGTTTGTTTTACTATCTCATATTAAAAATGATTGCCCAAAAATACCTGTTAAAAATTCAAGTTGACATAATAGTGGTTACTAAAGTGAAATATGAAAGTGAAATTCCAATTCTTAAGATCGGAGCAACAATTTGGTTGCAACTTTCATGTAAACGTTACCGATGTAAATTAGCTACGATCAAGTTTACCGTATAAGGTAATTTCATGATAATACTCTGATTTCAGTAAGTAAAACAAACTTTACATAAAATTTTTGTTGTGAACACCAACTATTCTCAAATGGGTTGCTTTAATTCAACAGGAAAATTTGCAAGGTATCTGCAGATAAATCTTTTGCATTATTTATAACGCTATTTTAAAGATTAGTAAAATGAAATAACTAACGGTTTTTGTGAATTATAATTTCAGTAACCACACCTTTTTATTATCAGTATCGTTGCATTCATTAGCAGAATCGAGAAGAAGCCAGTGCAGAATGTATAACATTTTTACCAGCGACCCACTCATAGGTGCATTTTCTCGTTTAGCTGCTTCAGACAGTAAAGAAGCGCAACACTTTAAATCTTACTATTTAAAATCACATTATTTGAGACAACACCTTATAATTTTTTTAAAAATCGAACATGATTAGTTCGCCTGCTTCAATACTGTACTCAGTACTCAAGTTTTTATTCACACGTGAAAATCCATTTTTATCTTGTATTCTTTTAAATTTAATAATGCACTATTTTCAGAAAAGCTACTCTTCAGTTCTAATTTTTGCTTTCAAAGTTTAAATAATATGCAATAATAATGTTAATAAACATGATAATGACACTAATATTAATAGTAATGATAGCAATAATAATTATATTATTATTAATTGATAATAATATTAATTATTTCAAGCCTTGTTAATATTAAGATTAAAATAAATAAATAATAATATAGCGCCTACAACACCGAAACTATAAATAGGAATAAAAATGACTTCTGTATCTGCAGTAGTATGGTAACGATATTGATATCGATATCAATATTGATTTAGATAATGCTAGTGGAAGTAATATCAAATTATTATCTAAAGTCATTTAACTTGATTACTCAGGATTAAGTCATTTAGCATAATTCTCTGGTTTAAGTCATACCTTAATTACTTGAGATTAAGTAAAAAATTAGCTCATATACCAAGAAAATTAGATTCTTCCAAAAGCTTTCTCACCACCTTTAACCTGACTGATTCTACTTTTTTCACGGAAACTCCTCTCATCATGGAAATTAATAAGTTCGAAATGATATAAATGATAAGTCTTGGGAAAACCTGCACAATGTGAGGAAATGCTGCGCGCACAAATCGCCAACGTGAAACAGAACTGATGGCATCAGAAAGTGAAGGGCTGAGACCATGAAGAATGTTCTGCACAACGACCCGTTCAAATGTCTACAAATTTATTATTCTTGGTTTTTTTCAATTGAGCAGTTACTAATTTAGTAAAGGGATCGGCAGTAACTGAGTAATTTTCGCTCAACGTAAGCAATAAAATTGAATTGTAACGAGATAAAAGTAAGGAACTTATGTTGATTGCTGACAATAGAAAAGATATTTACTTCACATTTTGTGCCCAAAAAGGTCTCAACATTTCCTGTTTAATGCGTGACTTCAGAAGTAGTAGTAGGAATTTTTTGCGGAATGACGTATAACATACGCTGTTATCACTTTTTATTCGTAGCTCATTTATAAGGGCCTAATTTCTAGACATTGAATTTCTTCTTAAACTTACACCAATCAAAGGCCTTTCAACTTTTTACGAAGTGAAGTCAAATTTGTTTGCCTCAAAAATCTCAATCAATGCCTTTTGTTTTCAAGTCTGAATGCCAACATAATTTATTACAGCGCAGTGATTATTTGGTAGGAATGCCTTTGCTTGTAAAGAAATCTTAGCATTATTATCATTAACTTACCACACACGATGCTTCATGAAGTTTTCCAATTTTAGCTCCCAGAAAAGGACTGAAAGATATATGCATTATGGCGTTATAAAAACAAATAGTGTTGCACTAAGACAAAAATTTTGCTTGTTTTGTCAAGTAATTCCTAAGAGAACTTATGAGAGTGAAGTAAAAACATAAGAAGCCTCTAATATCAAACAATAAAAGAACTGCGATTAGTATAACAGAAAAAAAATTCTATTAGTATGACGAGAAACTGCTTGTCCTGCAAAATTTGTTACTAAATTGAACCGAAAAATTCGTACATTTTTGCTTTACTTCCTAATAAACAATGCAGAAAATGGAAAGTTCAAAAATACATTTCCATCACACTAATGAAATTTCCTTGTCCAATTTTCAAATTAATAAAATTCGGTTCCGGATTAACATGCTTTATTTGTTAAAAGGTTTTGTATAGAAATAAAGCAATGGAATAGTACTTCGTTTGTCGCCACAGAAATGTTTGTATCGGTAAGGGCACTGATTCTAATTCGTTCTCAGCATCATCATTAATTGCCAACTGTTCCATAGGCCTGAAATCAATTAACTCTGTGTAAGTTACGTGACTTCAAGTTAAATTTTTCGACTGCATTACGTAAACTAGCATGGGTTCGTTGATTTACCATTCATTTCAAGACATTTTGTTGTATATAACGTGCTAGGACATGGAATGATCTTAATTTATTTTTGTAATTATTAAGCCAAATTATTCTATTATATCAGAACTTATGAAAATGAAGCAAGACAACAGCTTCACATATCTATTGATCATTAGTGGGATGTTGACTGATTACTTGGCTGGACAATGGCTAAGGAAAAGAAACACAGACTTTATAATTCATTAAATCAAGTTTCTCCTCTCTCGATATTAATTTAACTGAATTTCATAAAATATAGGCAAACGACTTCATCACATGATCATGACAAAAGTTTTGGATATTCACTGGGTTGTCAGGAACAAATCTATAATCACAATGATTAAGATATATGCAAGTTTTAAATTTTAAAATTATAATATTAGATTTTAGAAAAAGCTTTTACTGCTTGGGAAAATATTGTACTGCATCAATCATTGATTAAAGTAAGGGCAGCCAAAGGAGTAATATTGACGAAAAGTTGTAGATCACGAAATATTTAAAAATTATTTGTCTTTCGTCAAGTATGGAAATTCATAGAAATTCATAATTTGATCGAATTATCTTCCTTCAAAAGTCCCTTCGAATATAACATGCGAATGTTCTTGGCGATTTATAATTCACTTCAAATCATACATCATTCTATTTTTCGGCTACTTTTATAGTTATTGTTAAAAGCAAATTCATTAAATAGAAAACTGAGTCTTCAGAAGCAAAAAACTCGTCGACGACAAAATTTTAATAAAAATAAATTTATACTTTATGAAGGGAGCAAACAATGCTGGAAACACATTCAGTAATTATTATTGTAACTGTTTGAGTATTTGAGTTATTCTCATCAAGATAAATGAAAAAAATATACAAAAAGTCTAATATTAAAATCTGTTTGCGATTACTGCTAAAAAGGAAATAATTAGAAGCATAGTTTCTGCTAGAAACGAGATGAAATAATGACTTTTGCTATTTGCGATTTCGCATTTATAATTACTCACGAAAACATGAAAACATTTCATATTTGTTTTAACTTGATTTTAAAGTAAAGTTTTAATCTAAGTTATGTAAGTGAAGGAACAAAACTAGGGAATATATTGCTGTATGCCTCTAATTATGGACATGATGACGCCAGTTAATATTTTACAAAAACCTGATAGTGATTATTTGCATGAAAACACAAAACTCAACGATTTGAGGGACAAAATCAGTACTAAGGTGAAATTAATTATGTATACAATTCATTCGTTTTTCATTTTATTAATTTACATTTACATCTTGCATCACGCCTTTCTCAGACATGAATATTTTAATAAATATTTTCGCATTTTAAATTGAAAGAAAAATTTTCTGAGATAGCAATTCTATTTTTCAGCTCTCAAGTGAAAGCATTCACCGCGCAGAAAATTTCAAACTCATATTCCTTTTTTGAAATTATTAGTTATTCAATAATGACATTAATTACATCATTAAAATATGGCAAAGATCAATGCTTTGAAATACATAAACACAAAGATATGTTATGATATGGAAGGCAACAGAAACTTGCTTAAACGATGACAAATTTACTAACATCTAGTAGTTAAGTAATCTTAAGACCAATTAAGTAAAGAAGTTTATTGTGTTGCCAGATGGATTTCCAAAAGAGGACATGATCATATCGGAAAATCAATAGAATTTAAAAATATCAAGAACAAATAACAACCAACCGTTTGCACTGAGCTGCGACAGTAACAGGCATTAACAGCAACTGCACCGTACCTGCGCCCTGGTGCTGTAAATATCGTACATGCATTTACTGCACTCAAGCTGTAACCCTATTTTAGGTAATCAGAGATATCATTAATCTATGATAAAAGAAGCTAGAAGGTAATAACTTCACAGCCACTTGATTTTTCTTTTTCGCTTGCCGAAAATTAGTATAATTTAGTTATTAGCAGCGATTTCTTGAAAAAATCAATTGTAATTCAAACAGAAATAATTCAGGAGTTCAATGTTGGCCAAAAACAAGCGAATTACTGATATCTCTCAAAAATTCAATACAGAATTGCGAGGATCAGTAATTACAGAAAGGAATCAGCGCACATAAACGGGATAAAGAGTCAGATTTTCATCAGTAAGCATAATATGGAAATATCATTATCATTTTTTGGTTAGAAAGCAGGGAAGAGCAAATAACCTGAGCAAAACAACTGCTAGGCCTTTTTGCATCAATTTTTTGCAGTGCCTTTAGAAAAGCTTCACTGCCAGACTTAACTTAGTCGGTTCAGATCTTTTTCGAGTAAGAGTCGTTAGATTTTGCGATTTTGTTACACTGAGCTCAAATGCGGACTGACTGTTATTTTTAGGCTTGCATACGAGAAGATTGGACCTGCCTTCCCTCTGCTCTCGCAAGTAATAGCAGCAACAGTAGGCTTCTTGCTGTTGACAAGAAAAGGCCAAGAATCCTTTCTCCCACTAAGCCTTCACTTCCCTTCGACCCTTCAAGAGGAGCGGAATTGACTTAACTTTTTCGCTTTGTCTCCTAGTCATCATTACACTTTCTTTCTTTCATCTTTTTTTGTCCGTAGCTCATCTTTCGAGGCCTATGAAGTTGCTAATTGGAGGAGACTCTTTCTGAGAAGAGCATTACTCCCACATACATTCACTCTTTTTCCTCGCCAAATTTAAATTTACGTTGTTTTTTTGCCTCCAAAAAATTGATTTGAACAATCATATAATAGTAATATAAATAATAAGCACAACAACAAAGATAATGACAATGTTAACAGTGTAGAAGATGACGATAAAAGATTTTTCTTATGGCAAGTGCTAAAAAAGGAACATGGTGAATGCTAAATGGTATTATTTTCAGAATAACAGCCTTTTCCTTAAGCTTATTTCTAACTAGTTCAATTTACTTTTCTTTTGAACCATACATTCCATTTATTTGCAATTCTTGCAAAGGATTAAATGTATATAATAAGTTTATTACTTTCTAAATGCTGAGGCACATCACAAATAAAGCTCATTGTGTTATTTAATAAAGTAGAATAAATTGATATTATACAATTTATCTACAATTTTGCAGGCGAAATTCAACGACTTTCAAATTATTACCAGAAGTTTCTAGCAATTACTACTTAAGACATTTTACTTTCGTTTAGCAATACGGACACAAATTATTCATAACTTTAATTGTTAGGAAAATTGAATTCGATTTTAACTTACTTATTTGTTAAATTAATATACTTTTTATCACGAAACAAAAAAATTCAGAATATGTACCATTATATGTACAGCCAGCAGACAGTGAAAGCAAAAATTATGCATCAAACTGTCTACGGTCTTGATTGAGATATTGTGAATCACTGATAATAAATTATCCAAATGATGGAACAGTGACAGGGAATGAGTGCTGCCTAACTATTGTTCTGAGTAATGAAAATGATTGTTATATGTGCTAACACAACCAAAACTGCTATAGAAAAGTAAGCAGTGATGTAATATGCAGATAAGATTAATAGTAAGGGTAACAATGCTCTATAATTAATTATTCTGCTGATTAATAACGGTAATGAAAGTTATTGCCATTAGGATCGAATGACAGAATGGAAAGTTGATCAGAGTTACAAAGAAATATGACAAAAATTATTTTTGACTCAAAATATCAATAACCAATTTAATGCTTCATCATGACAGGAGTGATAATATACAATAATAATGAATGATAGATGAAAATAATATCAATAGTAGGAATTGATATTGGCATGGTTGAAACAAGTAGAAAATTTCTGATGAAAGTCAAGTTAATGCCTGATAACAAGCTTAACATTAGATTTGACGGGCATTGTAGGATAAGACCTCTGTGAGCAATGACAAACTTTCAAACTTTATCTCGTAAAACGAGCTTTATGTCAAATTGAGCTCAGTCCTGAATAATTAGATTTCAGTTATAAAAATTTAAGTACTTTTTTACAATCATATTACTTTGCATTAGTTATCACAGTTTTTGAAGCTTTTTTGATTAATATATAATTACTATCGCATTTGAGTATTGACGTTCATTTTTGAAAGTTTCAAGATGTGATATTCAACCAAAGCACTACAATGGTTAAATTATTGATGGGCATTTTTAAATAACTTTGTCTGGATGTCAAATCATTTTTATAATGCCTCACTCTTAGGCGAATACTTTATTCATGTTTTACTGAGCAAACTCTCCTACTATCTACTGGAAACTGAAGCCAAAGTCAAGAAATGAATTGAATATTCACTTTAAGGGAAGTTTACTTTAATTTTGCAACATTATACACGTTACTATTATGAATAATCTGTGAAACGATATCTCCACCAAATTCTTTCAGAGTTGAAGAATGCTGTCGTCAGAAATTTGGATTAATAAATGAAATAAATTGTTTTATTCATGAAATATTCAGCTTCTTTTCTAAGAGTGAGGCATTATAAAAATGTCTAATTGACATCCAGACAAAGTTATTTCAAAATGCTTATTTTTTTTAAAGTCAGATATTAAACACGTAAAAATCCAATGAATTTCGAAATGACAACGAATAATCATGCTACCTTGAAAAATTGAAGGAGTAAAAAAATCAGTTGCTGCATATAAATGCGATCAAAGTAAATTTAGTTTGCGAGTTACAGTGAGCTTTCTAGTAATTTTACCAGTCTATCAATTGACAAAGAATCAAATTTAAGACCGAAAACCTTTTACCATTTCAAGCACTTCGATGATAAGTTATGCTGCAAATTACTTCAGTGTATTCAGTACTCCAGAAAATTACCCGAAATAACAGAAATTATAAGTTAGGTCCTTGCAGTTATTAAAAATAACTATGCTTAATGTCCAGAGTTTGCAAAACTTTACAGCTATATCTAAAAAATTAGTTTTATCTATTTTGACCAATGGTTCAATGGTTTAACGAGATTCTACCTAGAAAATGATAGTTACAGATATTCTCAACTAGTCCAAAATTAATGGGAAATAAATGAGATTGGCAGCTTTAAAATTCAATTTTTATGTTACTCTACGAATTGTTGGAAACTGTACGTCAACAGTGTAAGGACTATCGTTAGGATTTACCTGGATTCATTTTCGAGATGCATTGTAGAGATGGGTGCACGCTACTGAACGAGAAGATATCCACAAACTGCTTATCTAAGTTAGGAAGAGCAAGAATACTATCATGAAATGGGAATGCCGTTGTTGAACTGAAAATATAATTCATACATGCGAACAAAGCGAGCATGACCAGAACTTAACTTTTGGCATGATCGCAAGTGTTAGAAAAACTCCTTCTGGCATTAGTAGAGTAATATTTTCCTTTTCTTTAAATTAGCCATTGAACCTACTTATTTAATCCCTCTTAATTGAATAGTAAAATTTTGCAAAAATAATTGTGCACCTTTACAAAATTTATGATTATTTCGAACTTCTTTATGTTTAATGTGCAAAAACTTTTGCTATATCCCTTAAAGTAATTAATATTTAATGAAAGTGAAAGTGCTATTCTAAACTTCATCTGCAGTTTGATAAAAGTTTCAAAATCTTAAATAGCTCATATATGAAGCAAACATTAACCATCCAAAGTTGATGGAATGAATGGTACTTTAAGAAGAACATGAGGTATGAGGCATGAAGGAATTCACAAATAACTGCAAATTTGGTTGCATATTGTGAAAAACAGATGGAATGCAAGCTCTTGAAAAGTATCGATCTCATAAAAAACAGAAGAAAGTAATAATAGTAATCAATTTGGGCAAGAAGTTTAACTAGAGTTTAATTTATTTATTCATCCCAAAAAATAAGCTCCATGAAGGTTTAAACAGAATCCCAAGCATATTTCAGAGCTTAAACAAATTTAAAGTTTTCCATTAGTTGGTATGAGCGGGCTATTGCTATTTATAGACAGTGGATGAGTTTCAATTTTTGAATAGTAACTTCATTCGAATGACTGATATAGAAGTGAAGAAAACATTATGTATGAAAGTTGTACGACGAAAAGTGATTTGGAGATTAAATGATGAACTCAATTCAAATTAATTTAATTTATTTAGCTTTTCCAAGATAATTTGTACTGTCTTTGCAACATTTAAAAATTAATTTGTGCACCAGAGATTTCATTAGCTGATGGTTTTAACAATGATTCATGTAACATATATCAAAAGTATTTCACTATGTAAAATCGGATTTACGTTAAACTTTAGACTTCTTTTAGTTCCACTTTTTATACAAACAGCTTGTAACAGTTTTGAAAACATTCGATTTTTAATTAATGAAACCATTTTTTAAAATGTACTCCCACCCAATACTCAAAAATACCTTCCTGAGTACAGTTTCAAATAACTTTCATTTTCATCCTTATATTTCTTGACGAGTAACACAGAATAATTCAGCTGTAACCCTGTTGAATCATTTCCGCTTCACTTTTTCTCACTTCCAAAATATTGAACTTATAAAAACTGCAATTCATATCTTTTTTAATTGAGCTGCCTTTTTTGAAACTAGCTCATTTATTTAGTCGCTAAATTGCCTCATTACAACTTAAAGAATAAGTTGTAACTTAAGTCAAAAAGGTCACAAAAGCCAAGATCATGAACTAAATTTGCTCGCTTCTGTGCATTTTCTATATCTTTCTCACCATATTACACAAATAATTGTCTTTTCAAGAATTTTTATATCATACTTTTTTTTTCCTATGTCACAGTGCAAAATAATTTGAAATATTGCAGGTACAAAATTCATACAAATTTCCAACTTTTAATGTGGATTTGCAGTCAAATTAGAAAAACAAACTATCTGATGAATGTGATATGTAATACTGTTCACTGGGAGATAAGCACCGACTATAAAAAGTAGAAATACTAACTTATCAATTGAAAATGGAACAAAAAAATAAAACTAATCTTAAAATGAAAATCAAAAGCTTCGTATTTTAAGTCAAACTTGGTGATGGCTGAAAATTATTAGTGGATAACACATTAGAGTAGTCATGGATGTCATTCAGAGCTAAAAATTCTCGAGTGGAAAGCAGTGTTTGTACTAGTATGCAGTGAAAGCAGTGACTGCTCCAAATTGCAAATGTTTTGTCAAGAAATGTTGTATGCAAATTATCAACTAGCATATATTTACGTAGTTTTAAGCGCTAGAAATCTTTGTGTTATTATGAAAGCTTTTAGATTCTAAATTTAAATTAAAAAGAGTAAAAAAGTGACGGAGAAATGCAAAAATTCTTTTATATAAAAATGCAATTATGGTGCGATAAATGATTCAAAACTTCTTTCAGCTTCTTTTCTTTACTTTCTAATTTATAGCTTATTTTCTATCTGCAGACTTTATTTCCAATTGTATGCTACAAACCAGTGACACCAAATTGTTTAGTGAAATCTACTGCATTAGACTGCAAGTGAAATAAAATTGTGCCTCAGGGAGTGTAGTAACACAAAGAAATAATTGGCATCATAAACTTATAATTTTAAACTTTTTGTAACCATGTCCTGCAAGAAATCA